TTCTTTTTTTTTTTGGGCCTGTCCGGTTTCACAGATATTCCAAAAGGGGGGGATTTCCATTTCTCGGGCGCGGTGATACGATTTTTTTACAATGGGGGGGGGGGTGGTTTAGTGGGGTTAGTATCGTAGCCTCGGCACAATGGCAAAACCGTTCACGGTGGGTCCACAAAGTCATTGTATCATACCGACTTGGCATGCATATGCCAAGACAGTATCTATAAACTGACTGGTACGATCGATATTCAACTCTAGAGGAAGAAGAAGCAAATTGAAACCGACATTCCTCTCTTTCAGGCAGTTGATTTTTTTATTATCATACCTTTCTTTTTTTTTCCTTTCTTTTTCTTTCCCCCTATGGATACCTGAGGATGGGGGAGGAGAATTTTTTTTACTCCGAGCTCACCCCGGCTAAGCTTGAGACTTATCAGTTGTGTATGTGTGCTTTATCTACAGTTACACGATCAAGAGGCCAAAAGGTCCAACGGGGGGAGTGTGCACAACACTTCAGATACTAACTAGCTGTATGGTTCGTACCATTCACAAGGCTGCAACTTTTCAATTGATTATATCTCACAATTGTGACCTTTTAATCACTTCGAGGGAAGGAAGAAAAGAAAAAAGAAAGAAAGAAAAGAAGAAAAAAAATACCCTTCATATTATTCACCTTAATTATTCTCAATAATAATCTAAAGTTTTTTTTTTTATCTATCAATATTTTGACCTAGTGAAAAAAGCTATAACAACCATTCAAAAATGCTTATTCCCCATGCACATTCTTTGGATAATCAAAGCCCATATCAGTCGGTACACACAAAGCATAAGGCAAATATTTTCTTACAAGACAGGGATTATTTTGCGGCTTGACCTAGATTAACTGTGCGAAACCTTTTTTGAGCCCCCTAGCACTTTTATAATGGTAATTTATATTTTGAGAGTCATTATTACCCTCTTTGAATCGGGTCATGTGTGGTGGTGGTGGTGGTGGTAACTTATCTCTTCATGAGAACATCCTCTCTATTTCTTCCACCTGACATAATACTTGTATGACTTTTTTTATTGCAATGCCATCCACTGCGGATCTAAAACCCTAACTCTTGGCGTACGCACGGTGTATGGTACAGTAAAGTAATATATCATTTGTGGCGGATGGAGACGATATAGGAATGCCTGACCCCAGTCGAGACTGGCCGGACTCATGGGAAGGGATCTTGGAGTAGTGCTTGTGCTACTACTTTATGATATAATATAGAGAGAGAGAGGGGGGGGGGGATTTGGATGGGCTGGTATGATACGTATGATAAAACCGGTACTATCATACTACTACTACTACTACTGTACTTGTACAAATTCATATCAGTAGCATGCCACTGGGGTTCTCGCGTCACCGTGAACTGCACTTACTGTAACGTAACTTAGTTGTTCCCCCACAGGGTGTGCGTGGGGTTCTATGTTGCTGTTACTGGGTGGATGGACTATTACCGGTATTGTGTGTGCTGCTGTGCTTTGCGCCATGACTTTGAGGATTTATTCAACCCGCATCGATCGCCAAAGACTATGTATGAAACTGTAGGGTCATTAGACTGCGCAAACTAGACTACTAAAGGATTACAAGAACAGGCCAAGGAATGACAAAAGGCTGCCCCCCCCCCCAGTTTCGAGAAGAGAAACAGGAAAGAAAAAACGCCCGAGTTCGCCAGGTTTTTTGTTCCAGGATGATTACCGATGGAAGGATGATAGAAAGGATACAAAAGGAATAACCAATCGGCTCCCCCCCCTCAAAAAGGAAGATATGAAACAAAACGTTAAAAAGGTGATTAATGAGAAATAATCGAAAGAGCGAACAGCCTTGTCATAATATTATACAACGATGGAATAAAATAATAAAGTGCTCTGGAAAATCGCACGCTACCCCAACCCAAAACACCCCCGTCTCCAACGAGAAAAAAGGAACCGGGTTGGAAAGGAAACAAAAAGTAAAAAAAGCTATCAACAGGATATCAATGTCATCGTGAATGTGCAAGAAGAAGAAAATGTACAGGAAGACAAAAAAAAAGCTACCCCGAGTACCACCATATACCTGACGACTTATCCTCTTTTTTTTAATCATTCCATCCACGAACGCACCTGCAGGCCATCAATAACCCGTTTGCCAGAATTAAAGCTTTCCACCATGATTGCGGCGGCGGTGTGTGGCTTCTCATGCGGCCGCTCCCGGTGATCCCAAATTAATGAACCAACTCAATCCCCCCCCCCCCCGATTGCCAGACACAAATTGATTCGTAAAGTCACGCCCCTCCTCTTACCAAAAGCTACAATTTCGAACCACACACTTTCCTAACCCTCAACGCTCTCAATCCGGACAATTGGTAAGCTGTCAATGAGACCTCTACTGTTTCCAACCGCAGACAACCTATTTGGATGCTCAAATTCGATTGTAACAGGAGTTCCACGGGAGCCGTTTCCATCAGCGCTAGAAGCATCCATGAACCTCATTGCTCTCTGTTGCAAACTTCTTAGAGCCATCTTCTCACCCATACCACAATCCTCTGCTCCTTTCCTTGTCTCCGGGGGAACCTGGAGCTGGGGGAAGTCACCCTTGAGAATTTGCATCTGACTTTGTATCGAGTCCCAGTTATTGTGAGGGCTTCGCTTGCGTTCACTCTTCTCGGGAACAGACACATTCTTAGTCATGTCTGGTGATCGATTCTGATTGGAAAGACCTCCTGATCTTAGAGCGGCTTGCTGACTATCGAAGCTTGGTACTGATGAAGACGAATATGTAGTTTGTGGAGAATCGGCTACATCACCAACTTCCTCTAGAATAACCTGCTGCGTGACACTCCTCCCGAAGCTTCGGCCCCCTCTGGGATCCCTCCACCCTCGGCCCGCCGGTGGCATGCCGCGGGCGTTGTGCCCATCAGGTCCGGTCCAACTACTTCTTCTTGAATCATCGCCCATGTTTCCACCCATTGGAGCTCTTCCCCACGAACCGGATCGTGAACCACCGGGACTGCTACCAGAGCTGCTTCGCCTGCCGGAAATTTCCGACTGTGCTGTGGGATAAAGATAGAACCCTGCCCCCGCTGGATCGGCCCCCAAGATTGAACGATGCTCGATTTTTTCTTGTGTAGAGTAAGAAGTTGGAGCCTCAATGTCAGCCTTACCAGACCTCCGCCGCAGACTGAGCGTACGAGTGGACAGAGATGAGATCGATAATCCGGGCCGTGGAGTAGGCGCCGAGATAGGCATCTGGAGAAATGGTGGGAGATCATCTGTTGTGAAGTCTGTCAGGTCGGGGTGTGACTGTGTTCGACGTAAAATGAAGTTGCTCAACGAGCCCCTGCGCTTGGGCTGGAAACTATTGGGCCTTTCGTGCAGCACAGGAGATTCTGGGGTTGTTGGAAGTATGTAAGGCGAATGAGCATCTGTAACAGTTGACAATGGTGAGGGTTGTTTGCTGTGGTTTTCCAGTGCTCGCTTAGACATCATAGATGATTTCGCCGAAGATTGAGCCCTGGTAGGACTAGTCTCCCTCGAGGGAGTGCTGGATAGAGAAGTTGTCGAGTGATTTAGGGCTGAAATCGACTGTGAAGATGGCGATTTAATCAAGACAGAGGGAGACGACACCGAGGGGGAAGTTGCTGCTGTAGATGCATCTGAAGCAAACTCAATCGATGAGGTAGACGAAGAGGAGGAGGAAGGCGCATGGAATGCAAACGGAGGGCGGATTTGAGCTGGCAATGAAGTTGCGGAGCATGTTTTACACGATGCTCCATGTTCCTTATATGGAACGATGTTGCTAAATTCCCCATCATCTTCGTATGGCGAGGAGGTAGACGATGTCGATGATCGAGCCTGAGTTGGGAGAGAAATGGCAGAGAGTGTGGGTGCCTCATTCCCTCTATTCTTGGCACCAGCCTCACCCCCCCGACTTGGATACTGGGACGCAGTCTTATTGGCTCTCCTACCCTTTGCTGACTTCAAGAATGAACCAAACATCGATCTCAAGCTGCCCTTCTTCCTAACCACTCGCAGGGAAGAGCCACCTTGAGCTTCAGCCCCGGATTGAGGGATTGTCGGGGCGGATTCTCGATGTTCTCCCCTCATTTTTAGGTTGGTCCAATAGATGCCGGAGCGTGGATTCAGCGGCAAGAGACGAATGGGAAAGCGAGTGGATGGGATAGTGTACCAAGCAAGATAAACGAATGTAAAACCGAGCCGCCAAGTAGTGAAGAAACGAGAGATGGGGGAGGAAAGTGTAAATAAGGAGGAGGTGGGAGGGGAGGGAGAGAAGAAAGAGAGAAAGAAACAAACGAGGGGGTACGGAAAGTACTTTCCAGTGCACCGACCAGTAAATTATGATCTAATGGCGTAGCGAGAAACAAGAAAGAAATGGGAAAAAGGGTGGAAAACGGTGACGATAACTAGAGAGAAAAGAGACAAGTTTCGCAATTAGCATGAGCCAACCGGAAAAACCGCTTAGCCGCAGAATCGAGCATGGATTTGTTCTTTTTTTATGAGTTATGATTGCGGAGAGTATAGTTACCGGTATGGTATGCAGGGTAAAGTAACCGTTGCGGGTACAGTACAGTACAGTACAGTATCGGTGTCGCATAGATTTCGCAGCAAACACGAGCACCATTTTTCTCCCTTGTCATCCGATCTCTGATACTATAACAGACACGATTGATGACTTGCGGTAGACCGAGAGCTTCCACCAGCTTGACTGGGGTTGTGGGTCTGCCCGGACAAGTACTGTACGGTACTGCACTCGAGTGCAGCACTGTATCGTACATACTGTGTATCATACCGGCACATCATTGACAGGAGGAATATGGTACGATACCTTTGCACGGTACCGGTGCAGTACTGTACCTTGTACTTGTATCATACTCGAGTTATCTACCCAACTTATCCTCTACGGCCCCCAGGCAAGCGAAACCTGAGTAAGGGGATAGCATGATACCCGCATCATAACCAAAATGAAAGGAACATATGTGGGATACCGGATACGTAAATCATGAAATCCAACCATGAAACGCCCTAAGCCCTGTTAAATTTTAACCCTCTAGACTTTGAATTGAGAAGCACCGAACCCTGACATTGGCAACAGCAGAAGGAGAGGCGTCTCGCCATCGGAGAACTTTGGTCCCGCTGTCGAACCACACTTTTCCTCGAAAATTTCCCAGTGTTACACCACAAGGGAAGTCCGAGTACCGATACCATAGTTTCATGGCCTCTCCTTAGTAAGACAATATTATTTTCCCAACGGCGAATGAGATCCTGATGCAAAGGGGGTTAAATAACCGCTGTTATCTATCTATCCAAGCACGGTCTTTTGGGTAAGGTGCACTGAGGCTGATACATTTTGTCCTGGAAGTTACCATCGAAAAAAGAAACGGCCGGGCCAGGCTCCTCTTTTGTGCGCTAAGACGACGCTTAGTCTAATCAATTGTCATAATATTATCATACCAGTAACTCTTTGGGGCAGAGATTGACCTCTTCAGAGGGAAAAGAGCTTCGGTGCCGCAATCCACTACTCGTAGATTTGAGGAATGAACAGCCACTCGAAGTGTTCCGTCTGTATCCATACCGTGCCGTTAGTCTACCCACTTCTATCATACTCTACAAGGAGGTCGGTCACGTATGGAGGTTAGTGATGAAACGGATAAGGCAGAAGCGGCCGAGGATATCGACAGATTCCCGCGCCGTGCACATATGTCCTCGGCCACTGGTTCCCTTTCTGTCTCATCACTAACCGCCATACCCGAGTATCTATGAGGATTTTGGTCATGTTGGGCAAGCATCGTGGCTTGTGCAGATAAGGCCAAATCCAAAACATTCTTGGGAAAAAAATAAAAAGACTTCTCTACTCGAGCACGGTACTTGTCCATTCCAAGAGTATCTGGAAATCTTAGCGAGGTTTAGTCGGTGGGGGAAACCTTAAACTAGAGCCATGTAGCGCGCCACCTTTGGGCTGCATACCCCGCTCTAAACTCCTATAGCTCACCCAAAAGTTAATCCTTTTGAAATTATACCTATAGACTACATCTCCGGCCTACTCTGTATCGAAGTATAGAGAGAAAGGTGTGCTAAAAGCTGCTGTTGAGGAACCTTAGAAGTTTGAAGCTGGGCATGCTTTATGGAGGAATTTCATGAGTTAAAGAGCTCCCCCACCACTATGCCAAGATTTCCGGATACTTTTGGAATGGAGTACCGTACAGTACCATGATTTATCCGTCTGAAAGAGGATTCCTGTAGCCCTCCAGGGGCCTCCCCCACCCAAGGATGAAATCTCAATGGGATGGTGCTTGCCGTCGAAGGCAGACTCACAACTTCGGAAGAAGTTGTCTGCTTGAGCAACTGTTTTCGGATGGTGGACCCCCTCTGAATCGCTTATCTCGGGTCCTGAGATCCATGGCAAGGGAACTTTCGACTTGCCCGAGAAGTCTCTCCAGCCAGGATTGAGGCATCGCGGATGTGCAATCCATGATCAAGTATGAAGCCTCGGGCACAGTATGATGCCAGAAAGTGCCGTAGCCGTCGAGTGTCGTACCGGTAGGCTGAGGTCCCCCAAGAGGTTCATCCCGGTCAAAAGGACCGAGTTGCAGAAATCCATCGAGGTCACGTGATCATAATCACAAGACAATAATAATGGTCGATTTGTAACCTATATTTTCCAATTTCAAGGGCCGCCGCTATATTCACCGGTATAACTGATGTTTCCTATGCCGCAATACGAAACGCTATATGCCAATTTCTGGAATATAAGACAGCGGTCGTGTCCATTTTGAGATATGATACTCCGGCATGAACGGCGCTCGGGTACTTTTTTCCTGAAATCCGAGTGAGATACTATGCGTATGGAGGGATACACCCTGCGAGAGTAAATTAGCGATTTCAGAACTTGATTTCACACGATAGGTCTGCTCAGGTATGGTGACTGCCCTGCCCAGTTAAATGTGAGAGTCTAGAGACTAGAATTGGTTTCCTACCGGTATATTCTATCGGCGGGTACTGGGTTTATCTAACTAAGTTAGATTCACCTGTCATCATTGCTCACATCTCCAGCAATCCCATCTGAGACGGATCGAAGGAGCCGGCTATTTTAGCACCGGAATTAGTGCGATATGATACAAGTAGATCAGTAGAATGGTCGAATCCAACAGTCCAAGAAGGAACGGTAGAGAGGGTGTCAGTATTATATGGTGGCACGACGCACTAGAGAGGTCCTGTACTGTACAGCAACCCATACAGGATGTACTTTCCCGACAAGGAGAAAAGTTTTCTTTCAGTGTCTATTTTCCCCAGCTGGTGTTTGTTGTAGGCCAGGAGGTATACCTTTGTTGACAGCTGGAAAATCGATTTCTCAAACCTCGTAGCGCCCGGCAGTCGGGCACCTCTACGGTGCTAGCATCATAGTGGGTCTGGTAACTCGACAGAGATCAAACCATATCATACAGCCGACATCAGATACGCGGCGGTGATAACTTACTAGAATACGCGCCGGAGGCTAGCAACACACTTTGAGAGTAAAGATTTGTTGTCAGGCCAGCCAATGAGACGCATTATTAGCCTATTTCTTATCTGTTGATTGGGCTTTGGTTCGATCGATAAGATAACTCCCATGTTAGACGCAGGGATTAGTTCTATTATTATTATTTTGCTACTGGGGGGTCTGTTTGATCTTTTTTTTCCTCAGGAAAAACCCCAATCCTTGTATATATGTTAGCATGTGAGGGAAGAGGAGAGAAGTTATGAGAATCAAGTAACTTAAATGAACTGGGATAAGAGGGTGAAAAGAATAGAAGTGAAGTGGAGGGGTCCAGGCATTGCACCGGGTGTGGACTATGTTTGAATACTCGGTTGCAGGCTAAGAGAGCTGTGTTAATAGGAAGGAGGGAGGAGCGGGAGAAGCAGCCGACGGAGAGTAAGGGTGGTAGGATTAGGATTTTTCCCGTGTGACGCGATGGTTGGTCGAAATTTGGGCGTGAAGACTTTTTCGCGATGTGGGAAGTCGTTATGGTACAGTACATAGTCAATTCGTAAAGTAGAGTATCTCGGCACATAAACGCCAAGAATCAATGTTTACGCCCAATTCAAGGATCTTGGCACCTCTATTTCAGAATATTTTAACCCCTGGCAAGTATTCGAGTATGATACCGTACAGTATCTGGGCTGGCGATTGGTCATAGGAGGTCACTCGTTGTTAGAAACTTTTGCTCTTTGTTGGTGAGTTGATTTCTTTGCGCTGAACGAATACTCAATTTAGATTTTATATCTCACTTACAATTGAGCCTGTACAGTACCAATTAAAACCTGACTCTTGGACATTTTTATTGAGGGCGGGAAAATGCATTACAACCAAAGAGACTCAAGAAAGCTGTTTTGAGATATGACCATTTTTAGTTTGATGCAACCAGCAAAAATCAATAGATTAGCCAACTTTAAGGTCAAATAACTCCACAACTACTTAAGAACCAGCAATTATTATTGCTTGTAGTTATGCATAAGAATCTGGATTTATTTCCTTACTGTCGTTCGCATATGGTTAAACAATTCTGTTATGAGAATTTAATAGTCTTTATTCATCAGTTCTTGTTCTATTTACTACTATTACTCCCACTAGGAACTACCGCAGATTACTACAGCTCTCGTGTAGTGTGTAGTGTCATACAGGTACTGGGTCTCCCAATGGAGAGATGGTATCGTAGTAAGGAAGACATGCCATACCGGAAGTTGTCTTATATCCCTCCCTCACCCCATAGGTCTGGTTCAACCAATTTTGGTGGAAAGATCAGTGGCGTCTAAAAAGGAGGTAGGGGTTTCTTAGGGGCAGGGGTAAGATTGGGGAGGTTTGATACTTTTCTCCTGGACCTGACACCGGTAATATCTATTCGGGCTGCCAAGCTTGGAAAGTTTAAAATAAGTCAGTCTACAGATATAGAGGGATTAGTGACTCAATAGCCTGTGTTTTGGTTTGTGTTCGGGGATATGGAATTAGTATTCAGGTAGGAAATTTATTATAGGCTTAACCACTGGGGCTGGGGAAGCATTCGGGGGTCTCTGCTGGAAGGAGAATGTATAGGATGGTGCTTTCAATGAGT